TCCGCATTCAGTGAAGATACGCCGGTGGTTTTTCGCGCCCCGCCTCCCGTTTCGGGCTCCGCCCATACTTGTATTCTCTACTGAATGTGGACCTGGAAGCTTCGGAAAAGCTCATTTGCCATTTTCAAGCGCTGAAAAGCCCAAATATGGGCTTCTCATGGCGAGACGGCTCCGAAAAGGTGAAAAACTGGAAAACGAGATTCTCCTGAGACACTGCCTTGAAGCGCAGTTTGCTGAAGATGTTCCGACGCAAGCAAATTTCGTCGAACTCCCAGAATGGGCATGAACAGAGCGTCCCGTCTTGACCCGTCGGAGCACAAAGCATCAATGGACCAGTCACATCATGTGAAGAACAGAGGATGGATGGACATCAAGAACGGTGTGGAACCCTTGCGTAGCAAATCCTCGAGGAGGACCAATGGGCAGATATATTGTGGATCGAATGCACCAGCTGAGGCAGTTGGATACGATTTCCCTACCTGGTGTAATGGATGTGGATATTAGATTTTGGTATCTGGTCTATCAAGTTCCAAGTCAAGGCACAAGTATCAACTTGTTATGTTCACGTACGTCAAGCTACTCCACCCACAGGGATGACAGATTGAAATTACTCGTCGCTCTGTACAATGCATCCATTACTGGCACTATTGCTACACATATTATGGAAATTGGTACGCATGTTACAAAATGTAAGTTACTTCTTCATTACTGCAGTAAGCAGGACCTTATTGTTGGATACAATCTGAAATGTGCAGAAGGAGATGACTCAGAACTATAAATCTTCACTTGTTTAGCTTTCCTATTTATAGATGTTGGAGCAAAATGGTCAAGATTCAAAGGCACCGTCCTCCCAGATTATGGACGGTGAGATGTTTATGCTGTATAATAGCGGGGCTGCTAACTAAGTAATCGCCCAAGTCTCGCTGTAAAGGATGATTTCCGAAAAGAAAAAATCATTCCAGAAGGTACAATCGGCCAGAATGACCCCGCCCATCAACGTGGGTGGTCTGAATAACGAGCTCGAAAGTGGGCTTCAGGGTAGATAGAAATGTCGAAACGCTGATAGTTATAATGAAAGGCGGATTTATGACAACTTTGGACACATTAGAGCGAAATTGTGGACTTTTCATCTTCAGACCACCCACGTCGATGGGCGGAGCCACCCTGGCAGCTTGTACCTTCTGGAGCAATTTTCTCGCTTCGGACTTTACCTTTTTCAGCGGAATTTGGCCGACTACTTAGTCAGGAGCTCCGCTATAACACAGCAACAAAATACAATCGACCTTATTTCGGTTGGGGGTAGAGGGTAGCGTAGCTCAAATCGACACGCGCCGCGAACTGCGTCGCGGTTGAAGTCGGATAGTTTCATGGCTTAACGTTTCGCTTGCCTTATGACTCTTTTCAATTCAAATAATAGGGTGGTGATAGCAGCAGACTTGAGTAGATAAAGTTCGATGACGTCAGAAGTGGATGTTTCGTCCATAACGTGCGAAAAGGTGCGTGTAAAGTGTCGGATTTGATTGTCGTGTCGTCTAAGTTTAGTTTTTTGAGTCTTCATAGATCGTAGTATATGTTTTATTAGGCTATGCCACTTCCCTTATTTCTTGTAGATCCTACAGTCGAAGCTATTTTTTCCAAGAATACTCACCTTGATGGCAAGAGATTTGACGAGCGAGAATCATGACAAGGAGCTTCCGAGCTTGGACGACTCTGAAAGTAAGTGTATAAGGTTCTTTACAGTGTTTCTAGAAAATTTTACATGGCTTTACCTTCTATAAATTTCACTACATCTTTTTATAGCCACCAAATGCACAATGATAATGGAAGATTGTGATGAGGACCGCTTGTTCAGTAGAGCCAATACTCTCACCAATGATGGCTATGATAGTGCTGCTAAAACCCCCAGTTACTATGGTTATGAAAGTACCCCGTAAGACCCTACTCACTCATTTCATTCTAACTCCATAACGGTATTTTTTAGTGAGCGATCAGGTGCAAGTTCATCCACATCAGATCTATTTGTTAACGAAGACAATAACTCTGTATGTTCGGAAGATGCTGAAGAACTTCAGAAGGTAATCAAATTT